TATTTGTTACAGTTGGTGAACCTACACTGACACATCTTCATCACTCAGAATCCAGAGTTTACATGAGGGTTCACTCTTTGATGTTGTACCTTCTGTCAATTTGCACAAATTTGTAATGACGTTTATCCACCACTATGGTATCAATCAGAGTAGTTTCACTGCCTTCACCGTCCTCTGTGTTCCACCTCTTCATCCCTCCCTCCCCACAAACCCTTAGCAACCACTGATCTTTTAAATTTTTATCGAAGTAGGGTATACACATTACAAAGTCAAACATTATAAAGTCTCATTTTTCCCTGCTCATGATTCTTGCTTCCCAGAGGAAATGATTAAATTTTTTTTAGCAGTTTTTTTCTTCAGTTTACCTCTGTATTTCTAAATGTTTTCTTTTACTATGGTGTCTTGATTTTTTGAATTGGGGTAAAAATTTTTTTAACATAAGAATTTCCATTTTAAACGATTTAAAGTCTACAGTTTAGAGGCATTAGTAATGTTTATAATGTCGTACAGCCATCATCACTATCTATTTCCAAAAATTTTATCACTCCAAACAGAAACTTTAGCCATTAAGCAGTAATTCCCCATCTTTCATTGATGAACACTTGGGTTTCCATCTTTTGGGTATTGTGAGTGCAGTGAACACTGGCATACAAGTATCTGTTTGAGTCTTTGATTTTAATTCTTTTGGGTATATGCCTACGAGTGAAATTTCTGGGTCATATGGTAATTTTATGTTTAACTTTTTGAAAAACTGCCAAGCTGTTTTCCACTGTGGCTGCACCATTTTACATTCCCACCAGCAATGTGTGAGGGTTTCAATTTCTCCACGTTCTTGCCATCACTTGTTACTTTCCATTTTTTGTTTCGTTTTTATTATAGTCATCCCGGTAGGTGGGAAGTGGTATCTCCTTGTAGTTTTTTTTTTTTTTTAAATTATTTATTTTTGGCTGTGTCAGGTCTTGGTTGCTGCTTGCGAGACCTTTCGTTGCAGCATGCGGGCTTCTCTCTAGTTGTGCCATGTGGGCTCCAGAGCACATGGGCTCTGTAGTTGGGGCACGTGGGCTCTCTAGGTGTGATGCGTGGGCTTAGTTGTCCCGCTGCATGTGGGATCCTAGTTCCCCGACCAGGGATTGAACCCACGTCCCCTGCATTGGAAGACAGATTCTTAACCACTGGACCACCAAGGAAGTCCTTCCTTGCAGTTTTTATTTTCATTTCCCTAATGTCTAATGATGTTGAGCATTTTTTGATATGCTTATTGATCATTTGTATATCTTCTTTTGAGAAATGCATATTCAAGTCCTTTGCCCATTTTAAAATTGTGTTGTTTGTATTTCTGTTGTTAAGTTGTAGGAATTCCTTATACATTCTGGTTATTAACTCATCAGATATGTGATTTGCAAATATTTTATTCATTCTTTAGATTGTTTTTTTACTTTCTTAATATCCTTTGATGCATGAAAGCTTTTAATTTTGGTGAAGTCCAGCTTACCTATTTTTTCTTTTTGTTGATCATGTTTTTCATGTCATATCTAAGAAGCCATTGCCAAATTATAGGTCATGAAGATTTCTCCTGCTTTCTTCTAAAAAAACATAGCTTTGGCTCTTTTTGAATTACGGTTTTCTCAGGGTATATGCCCAGTAGTGGGATTGCTGGGTCATATGCTAGTTCTATTTTTTGTTTTTTTTTTTTGTTTGTTTTTTTGTGGTACGTGGACCTCTCACTGTTGTGGCCTCTCCCACTGCGGAGCACAGGCTCTGGACGCACAGGCTCAGCAGCCATGGCTCACGGGCCCAGCTGCTCTGCGGCATGTGGGATCTTCCCAGACCGGGGCACAAACCTGTGTCCCCTGCATCGGCAGGTGGACTCTCAACCACTGTGCCACCAGGGAAGCCCTTATTGATTCATTTTGAGTTCATTATGTATATGATGTGAGTTAGGGGTCCAACTTTTTTTGTTTTTGTTTTATTTTTGACCCATCTTGGTGATTCTTTTTTTTTTTAATAAATTTATGTATTTTATTAATTTTTGGTTGCATTGGGTCTTGCTGCGCACGGGCTTTCTCTAGTTGCGGCAAGCGGGGGCTGCTCTTCATTGCTGTGCATGGGCTTCTCATTGCGGTGGCTTCTAGTTGTGGAGCATGGGCTCTAGGCGGGTGGGCTGCAGTAGTTGTGGCGCGTGGGCTTCAGTAGTTGTGGCTTGCGGGCTCTAGAGCGCAGGCTCAGTAGTTGTGGAGCACGGGCTTAGTTGCTCCGCGGCATGTGGGATCTTCCCGGATCAGGGCTCAAACCTGTGTCCCCTGCATTGGCAGGCAGATTCTTAACTACTACACCACCAGGGAAGTCACATCTTGGTGATTCTAATGTGTAACGTAAGGTGTGATTCCAGAGTAGTTTTCTATTTTATTTTATGAATGTTCAGCATTCATTATATGGTGATCATTTTCTTCACTGTTTTTTTTTAAATGCACAGTTATTATATATAAATTACTTATTATGATAATTTGAATTCAGTTCTGGAATTGGTCTTCTGCTCTCTTGGCTGTATTTCATTTGGTCCTATATATTTTAACTATGTTTCATGTTAGATTTTCTCCTTTGTAGCATGTTGAGAGTCTGTTCCACAATGCATACAGATAATTTAAAAAATGTCTACAATGTTGTTAAAATTTGGTTTAGAGAAAGACAGTAATCTAAAACTACCCTTTTTATTGGCTTAAAGAAATATTATATGGGTGTAAGTTATCATTCAGAAATCAAGTACTGAGAAGAAATACGTCATTTATCCTATGAAAAATAGCTGTAGGATAGTAGAGAAATACTGATATACTCCAGATTTGTAAGGTAGGAATCATTTAGACATTTGCACTTCATTTTAAGAAAGTAGTACCAGAAACAATGAATTTTGCCTATGAATTTAATGAAATTGTACAACCGTACATCTTATTTAATGCCTAGCTAAAATCTCACTTAAAAAGTCAGGTGGAAAAAAATGTCAGCTGAGGAAAACGTTAGGATTGACTCAACTGTTTTCTCATTGAATACATATTGTTTCTCAGGCTCTGGTTCATATTTGGGTACCACATTGAATCAAGGCATATTTTAAACATGGAATGTATTGTTTTCAGTCAGGGACATTTTTGGACATAATTTCATGGACTTTGTTTTTCAGGATATTGAAAATATGTTAAAAATGGTTCATTTTTTTTGGCTTGTGCACATTAGCAGCAAAAAGCCAGAAGCAGAATTAGAAGCTGATACATTCTATCAAGTTTCATGTGGATATTAGGCCTGCATAATCAGCCATGAAATCTATATGGATCTGTTTAGTTCTCAGTTCAATGATTATTTTTGAACTAGTTAACTGGGTTAAAGCATGGGTGCTAAGGGTTAACATTTCAATTTAGAGCTCTCTGTGGCTTTAGTTTTGCATTAAGGAAGTCTGTGACTTGTAACCAGTACAGTCAGAAATTTGTGATCTGATCACAAGAGAGAAAATTTGGGAGCATGAATAGTTTAATACAAATTTATTCAGTCATTCAAGTATTTATTGAACATCTTCTGTGGGTTAGGCACTGCTTTAGAAATTGGGGATACAGCATTTAGCAAGTCAGATGAGATCTCAGCTCATATTGCTGTGGGGACATTTGAGGGGATGGATAACAGATTACAAACAACTAAATAACTAATCAAACAGTGTAATTTAGCAATGTACATAATAAAGGTCATCAAAGGTAATGGTGACTGATGGGGGTGTGTTTGAAAGTTTAGAAAGGGGTGTGTATCTGAAGGCCTCTTTGAGGAGGTGACATTTGAGGAGAACTGAATGATGAGAAAGAGGCCATGTAACAAGTGTTTTAGCAGAGGGAACTGCAAGTGCAAAGGTTCTCAGGCTGAACCAAGCTTCAGGTGTTCAGTTATGAAGAAGGCCTGTGGGGCTGGAGCACCTTGAGCTTAACTGTTGAAAAAAAGAGAAATTCTCTTTATGGAGGTTTGCTAGCTCCTGTCTTTGTATAAGGATAACATGTATGTGAGTATGTATTCCTTTTAAAATTGAACCTAGATGAAAATAAAAAGAAGAATCCCATTTTTTTTCTTCAGTAGATATTGACCGCCTATGTCAGGCATCATGTAGGTGCTAGAGCCACAGCAATGAACACAACAGACAAATTTCTGCTTTCATTGAGCTTATATTCTAGAGATGCTTCATTAGAAGGCAGTGACACTTTGAATCCTAGAAAATATTTGATCGATTAATTGATAGGAATGCAATTCTCGACCTTTTGGGATGGGGTGGGAGGTAGAGGGATGGTGGATGGTGGTGGCTTCGGAATGTATAGAGGTGTTTGATATAGACTTTAATGAGAGTGTGTAATAGTCCTCAGGTGTGTTGGGTAGAAAAACAGTTGAGAATCAATATGATACTCCCTAGGGTAAGGTATCTTTACAATCCAGGAAAGCTATCAATACGTTTAACATTTTAGCAACTCAGCAAACTCGGATTAGCACTGAGAAATAATTTGTATTTCAGAAAATATATTGAAACATTTTGACAGTAATATAAACTTTCTTACATGACTGACTTTATTTACTCCTGTGGCAAACAGTGATCGTATTCACATATAGTGAATAGAAACATTGGTTATCTCAGTAGTTTTCTTTCTTATGGTGTAGTATCTAGTAGTTTTTCTTCCACATTCCATTTGTTCTGCTGGCTCTTTATGAATGAGGATTATCTAATGGGCCTCTAACATGTAATTGCTCTGAGCTTTTGTCTCTGACTTTATATTTAGGTAAGATAGATAAAAGAAGTTTTTTACTTTCTTTAGGTGAAATAATATTTGAGTCACACATTCAATGTTTGAATTACAAATTTAAAAGCATTAAAAAAAACTCAGTTGTTAAAAGGAGAGTCAGGGTTTCCTGAGAAATCAGTATTATCTCCAGAGTACGTTCTTTGTTTCAGCAAAGGCAATGAGTTTCTGTTTCTGTATTTTCAGGGATACAAGCAGCAGTGAAAGTGAAGCGAGTTCTGAATCGTCTGATGATGAGTTAATTGGCCCCCCTTTACCCCTTAAAATGGCGGAAGAACCAGTTAATCATATGGAGGAAGATATCCTTGGTCCTTTACCTCCACCTCTTGGTGAAGATGTGGAAGAAGATGATGATGATGAAGATGATGATTCAGAAGAGGAGGAAGTAAGTATTTCAGTAGTAATTTAAGAATTCAGTGGAGTAGTGTCTTTTAGAGTAGTGTAGAGATCAGTTCCCTGCTAGACAGTTATTCATGAATGAGATCAAATTAAAAAAAAAATCTGAGTTTACTACTGACAGCCCCTTGTTGAAAAAACTCTAAAGAATGTATTTCAGGAATAAAGAAGTAGAACTCAAAAATAATAAATGGACAGTAGGAAGCAATGTGTTAAAAAGTTAATAAACATTTTGTTAAGTTTATGTAGCATTGAGTGAGATGTTCATGATGAATCTGGGAAGATTTAAAAATAAAGTGGATCTAATATTATTTTGAACAATAATGTGGAAGATAGGAGAGTGGAATCAGTTCAGTCATTTTGAAGTCATATTATTTGGGCGGAGGCTAGAGATGTTAGTTAATTTTAGATTAGCTTAAGTCAAGTTGCAAGTTACAATTTTAAGAGTAAATGCCCAAAAAATAGAAATTGTGTAACCTCCAAAATAGTAAAAGGAAAAACACATAAAGAAAACCATTGATGTACTTTGTATTTTTGATACCTAGAATGGATCATTTTTTAATACCACCTTTCTCTATGTGACAGATTATATTCAGTAATAATTATGAGTTGAAACAAATAATAATGGTCAGAAGAGAAACTGACAGCCTTTGCAGATCTGTCAGTGACTTCATCAAAATGGGCATTCTTTGCTTATTTGTGTTTACTACACAGTATACCAAATTGGTCACTCTATGTCTATTCATAGTTTATTAAAGAAAGCTTTTCATGCACACATGTGTATGTGTGTGTATGTAAAATTAGGAAAAGAGGAACTTAAGGATAAATCAGGCAGTTTCATTAAAAATTTTGTTTTACAATAAATTTCTGAAACTGCAGTGTTGACCATATCATTTTTCTTTTGATGTCAGTCCTAGTGGCTTTTAAATATCTCTGTTCTTAAAACACTTTCACTAAAATCTCTTCTTCCAGAAAATCCATCATTTTCTAATATATTTGGTAAAAACTTCTAAAGTTTCTTCTGTAAAAATCAGAGAAAATGGCTAAATAATGGCATATGTTGTCATTAAATGATCCATTGCTTTAGAATGTTTTTGATGAAAGCAACTGAGGTGTTTAAACATTCCCATTTGGAATTTTTCTGCCGACCTAGTCTACCGTCTTTTGTCTTTTCCTCCTGGCATTGAAAGTATAGCAGAATGGAAGACTCTTTTTGTTTCTTTGACTTTATAATCATTGTTTATTTTGAACCTACTGTTTAAATGCAAGAACATGAAGTACACCAGGGATTGGAGATATGAAACCACCCTTGAAGTAAGCTTGAATGATTCTGAACCATTAAAAATATTATCTGGGGGCTTCCCTGGTGGCGCAGTGGTTGAGAGTCCGCCTGCCAATGCAGGGGACATGGGTTCGTGCCCTGGTCCGGGAAGATCCCACATGCCGCGGAGCGGCTGGGCCCGTGAGCCACGGCCGCTGAGCCGGCACGTCCGGAGCCTGTGCTCCACAATGGGAGAGGCCATGACAGTGAGAGGCCCGCGTACCGCAAAAAAAAAAAAAAATCTGAACATGTGTGTAGCTGAGTACATTTGTGCATGTATGTGGTACAGATAGTATAACTGGAAGTGCACCAAACTAACTTCATGTAGAATGCAATGTTTATTAAAAGATAAGTAATAAAAATATGCTAATTTGAAGCTTACATATGTGTTATCAAAACTCAGCATTAATCATAGCAAAAAACAAAAAACCAAATTTCTAAACTGACAGTTTTAGAATTGCCAGCACCTGGTGATAATAAAAATTAAAAAAAATTTATTTTATTAATAAAAAAATGTTTAGTTGATTTTATTTTATTTTTTAATTCTGTAAAGAAAATGTACCCCCTTATTGGTCTGTAATACTACCACCGAAATGCTCTTGATATGCCATTGAAGAAAGCGCAGTCATTCCAAAAAAAGACAGGAAAGGGGAAAAAAGAAGTAGATGAAAATCTTGGTAAATAGAGATCACAAAATAAGATGGTAAGCATGAATACAAATACAGTTGACCCTTGAACATTGCAGGAATTAGGGGCACCGACTCTCTGAGCAGTCAAAAATCCGAGTATAATTTACAGTCAGCCCTCCATTTATACGGTTCCTCCACATCTGAGGCTCCACATCCTCAGATTCAACCAACTGTGGATCATGTAGTACTGTAGTATTTACTACTAAAAAAAAATCTGCTTGTAAGTGGACCTCTGCAGTTCAAAGTCATGTTGTTCAAAGGTCAGCTGTATATCATTATTCACAATAGATGTAAATGGCTAAACTTGCCACTTAAAAGACAAAACTTCTCAGATTGGATTAAAAAATTCAGGCATATTCTGCTTATGAATGATACATCTAAAATGTAATGACATAGAAAGGTTGAAAGAAAAAGGAATAAAGGAGACTATAGCAGGAAAATACTAACTGAAAGATAACTGATTAGTATTATAAAATTAATGTAAAGATAAAATGAGTGTCATTAGCTAATGGTAAAAGAAACAATTTATTCTCCAGGGAAATTTGATAGTCCTTAACCTGTGTGCATTTTAACACAATATAATCAAAGCAAAAATTGACAGAATTATAAGGAGAAATGGACAGACCTACAGTGATAATGGAAGATTGTTCAGAAACAATTCAGGAATTGTTAAGATGGCAATTAGTAAGAGTATAGATTTTAGCAATACAAATGCACAAGTTTTATCTATTGAACATATATAGAACCTTCATCCAACATTTTCTTTTCAAGCATACATGGGTAATCAGAAACAACAGCAACCACACATCTAGGCCACAGTGTGTGATGGACAAGGAAAAGATGTGTTTAATTATTTTGGGTAGTTCATAGAGTAGGTAATATTTAGGTTGAACTAATATATGTGAGAATGACTTATGTTTGTTTGTTATGAATGTTTGTTTGCCCCCCAAATTCATATGTTGAAGTCCTAACCTTCAATGTGACTGTATTTGGAGATGAGCCTCTTTGGAAATAATCAAGGTTAAGTTAGGTCATAAGGGTGGGTCCTGATCCAAATAGGATTAGCCTCCTTATAAGAAGAGAGATACTAGAGAGCTAGGTCTGCACATAACAGCAAGAAGCTGGCTGTTTATAAGCCAGGAAGAAAGTCTGCAACAGAAACCAAATTTGCTGGCACTTGGTCATGGATTTCTAGCCTCCAAAACTGTGAGAAAAGAAATTTTTAATCTTTAAGCCACCCAATCTGTGGTCTTTTGTCTGAGCTGATGAATGCAGGTTTGCAATGCTGGCAAGGTACCAGGGAAGAGAGAATAGAAGTATGAAGGGTGTTGTGAGGAGAAAAAAAGTTGCTATAGTGAGGACCTAAATGTGTGCAAGTACATGATAGTGTGGTGAAATGTCATGTGATTAGTGCATGGCTGTTTTTTCTTACTAGGGGGAAGTGGAAAGATGAGGCTGATGAGATCAGATCCAGAGAAGAAATACATTAATCCCCCCTTATCCAGGGGGATATGTTTCAATACCCCAGTAGATGCCTGAAACTGGATGGTACCAACCTTTACATATACACTATGTTTTTCTATACATATATACCTGTGATAAAGTTTAATTTATAAATTAGGCACAGTAAGAGATTAACAATAGTAACTTATAATAGAACAATTATAATGATGTACTGTAGTAAAAGTTACTGGCATACCTTGGAGGTATTGCTGGTTGGGTTCTAGACCACCACAATGAAGCAAATGCTGAAATAAAGCAAGTCACATGAATTTTTTGGCTTCCCAGTGCATATAAAAGTTATGTTTACACTATTCTATACTCTATTAAGTGTGCAATATAGCATTATATCTAAAAGAAAACAATGTACATACCTTAATTTAAAAATATGTTATTGCTAAAAAATGTTAACCATCATCTGAGCCTTCAGCGAGTTGTAATCATTTTGCTGGTGGAGGGTTTGAAATATTGTGAGATTTACCAGAATGTGACACAGAGACATGAAGTGAGCAAATGCATTGGAAAAACTGTGCCAATAGACTTGCTCCAAGCAGTGTTGCCACAAACCTTCAATTTGTAAAAAACGCAGTAAAGAGCAGTAAAACAAGGTATGCCTGAATGTGAATGCGGTCTTTCCCTCTCTCTCAAAATATATTATTGGACAGGTATAATGCCTTTTCGATCTTAATTAAGCATTTATCATGCACTGTGGTCATAACTTTTGCAGTTTGAGGTGTGACAGCAAAACTAGCATGAATTTCTTTTGCTTCTTCATGATTTCACAGATAGGAGATTTGTGCTTACTGTAGATCCTAGCAACCTCTGCATACCATTTTTTTCCTTTCCATATCAAGTTGAGAACTTTTCAACTTTTCACTTAAAGGAAGCACTTTATAGCTTCTTTTTGGCATTTTCAAATTGCCAGCATCACTCTTGTGCTTTGGGGCCGTTATTAAGTAAAATAAGAATTACTTGAACACAAACACTGTGATATCTTGACAGATGACTACTAAGTGACTGCTGGGCAGGATACACTATACAAAGGGATGCTTTACTTGTTGGGCGGGAAGGAACAGGTTAGCTTGAGATTCTGTCACGTTACTCAGAAAGGCACACAATTTAAAACTTACGAATTATTTGTTTCTGGAACTTTTGATTTAATATTTTCATACCAAGGGTAACTGAAACTGCAGAAAGCAAAAACCAGGCATAAGAGGGGATGCCTGTACTTTGTGGAGGAGGTGGAATTTGAATGAGCCTTGTAGAGGGTAACATTTTGATGGGTGAGGTGAGTGGAGGTATCTAGGAAGAGTGAATGGCCGGAACAAAGGCACAGTGTACAAGATTAGATTTGGGAAGATGGGAAAATCAACTTCTCTAGAATAGAGGGTTAATGAAGATTGGACCTTTGACTTGGAGCTGATAGGTGAGTAAACCCAAAGTGCAGCTATGCAGAGAAGGAAAAACATGCGTGGGTGTGGGGCTCAGAGGTCCATTTGAAATCTTACCATAGCTGTAATTAAAGTGTATCAGGAGACTGAATGACAGCTTTCTGTTTTTTTATAAGATTATGTGCTGGTTCTTTTTGGAAGTAAAACATTAAGTCTTTTTATGGTGTGCCTTTCCTCTTGTAAACATAGTAAACAGAAAATGCTAAACAACATGCAGGTCATAACAAGTCTGTTGGTGATTTGTGCCAGTAACAGCTTCAGTTTTAAAGTATGCACTAATTGATAATGCAATACTTATTACCATTGTTAATGGATTAACTCTGAAACTTTAGATTGGAGATAAAACAAGAGTGGGAGATTCCTTATTTCCTTTCCATTTCTCCGTCTATTTTTCTTTCCAACATATATCACAACCAGCATTTTCAAGACTAGGGCAGAGGTGATGGATGAAGCAGATAGCTTGGAAATTTGGAAACATTGTGAATGTGGCTTTGCAGTAGCCTTCCTAGATTCAGGTAAATTATATTGGCCTTGAATGAAGGCCTTCGATTTTCAGACTTTGTGGTTTGATACTAGATGAGTGGCAATGTCAGTCTGTTTTTTAAGTTCTGAGTGAGAACAAACTTTTCTACTTTATTTGATAAGTGGGATATTGGCAGCCTTCTAGATCAAACAGTAGTAGAATTAGGGATCATAGGCAAAGGAAATCTGTTGATTACTGTCTTGAATATGAATGTTATTGTGGAAAATAGACAAAGTAGCATGATTCATTTTATTTGCATTGCAGTGTTGGGCCTGTGTTTCAACGCTGAGTTTCAAATGTTTCTGGCCTTTGAAAGTTTTGTTTTTGTGGTTGGTTGGACTTAGGGCCGAGTAATTCTTTGCTTGTTGATTCAGAAACTTAATTTAGTTCCTTCAGGAAATCAGTTTGAGGTAATGCTAAGCAAAATTATAAGAGATTGTTTTATATATCAGAATGCTAGTTATATTTTTACAATTTGGGATATGTCAGAATTGTCCCGTCTACTTATTAAGGCTTAACCATTCTGTAGGTGCCCTTGATTTCCTTTCCTTTTTTCTCTCATACTTGGCTTCATCACCATCAACCTTTTGTATTTTTTGTTTCCTTTTGTTTTAGCCTGTTTCTTTCTACTTGCTCTTGGCTCTAAGCTTGCAAACATACTGAAATCTTCCTTTAAGTCAGTTTCCCCTCCACCCTACTGTCCAATTTCCTCTTTTTCTTTATCAGCTAATGTCTCGAAAGCAGTATTTATATTTGCCACCTCTCTTTCGTCACTACACCAGTTTCTCCTTAGATCTTTGTTGTCAGCTTCTGCTCTTACCATTTCATAGAGATCCCCAGTGACAAAATCCATATATCCAAAGACCCTTTCTCAGTTCTCATTTTGTACCTACCTCTGCATTATTGGACAATGTTGAATTGTTCTTCCTTGAAACTCTTCCCTTGCCATTTCTCTATACTATTGGCTTGCTGCCTATCTCTTGGACTGTTTTTTCAACAGATATTTACTGAGCACATCTTATGAGTCAGGTACTTTGCAGGTGTTAGGGATACAGCAGAAAATAATGCAGACAAATCCATGCTCTGGTGGTGCTTACATTTCCGCTAGAGCCTCTTTTACTACTTCATATTTCCTTACATTTCTCCAACCATAAGCATTCCCTGAGGGTATGTCCTGTGTACCTTAACATTTCATATTTGGCCTGGGTGGAGTTTCTTACATCTTCCTGTACTCATGACTCCTATTCACTCAGAGCAACTGGAGGTATTACCTCATTTCATTTGAACTTCAGATTCAGCTTTCTAACCACCATGAAACATGTCCATATTTAAGCCCCCACAATATTCTAAATTCAGCATTTAAGATAAAACTCAGGCATTTGCCTTCCCACTTGAACTTTTGCTGTAGTCACTTAGCTTATCTCTTTGCCTCTAGGATCTTCAGTCCCTTTTCCTCACTGCTGCAAGATTAAACTATTGATAACACAAGTCATATTGCAAGTAATGGTACTCATTCCCTAGATGAGGGAAAATAAACTACCACAGCAAGTGAGTTTGACTCATGGGGATTCCTGAATAGAATCTGATTTTTATTTGCTGCTCAGAAACTTGCAAAGCACTGCGACGTTTTAGAGAGACATTCTACTTGGTAGGAAAGCAGCCAAATTTACATACTTGAGTGGCCAGATATTTCAGCAAGTATTATTGAAATTAATGGACAAATATTTTTAATAACCTAGTGATTCTTCATCTGAACGTGAGAATCATCTTTGGTACAATTAAAAAACATGTATTTGTAGGTTCTGTAATCCAGAGATCAATTAAGTAGGACTAGGGTGAACCTGCCTCAACTCCTGCAATCTTGTGTTGTAACAAAAGGCTTCATAGGTTATTTTGATGCACCTCTTCCCAAACCACTTGTGACTGCTCACTTAAATAGTCACAGTTGGGGTCATAGGTTAACTAAGGGTACCTTCATAGGTTATTATCTGTATCATGCCTCATGGATGCTTAAGGACATGGGCTATTGCTTACAGAATAATGTTTCCTAAAAACAAGGATATGGAATTGCTGCCCTGTTTCTCTGTGCTAATGAAGCCACTTTGAAGTTTTCATATAAAACATATAAGAATATTCTTTCTCCCAGATAGCTTAGAAGTAATACTTATTTTGATTTTGATTTTTTGAAAAATGTTTCTTTTATGATATGTGAAGGTTGATGTCTCTGAAAAGCATTAGTGTTTAATTGCTTCTGAAGATGACATGGGAGAGATGGTAAGTTCCTGGCCTTTTGAATCTCTCTCATTTTTATGTCTTTTTATGCCTATCTTGAATTATACCCTATTAAATTATAATTGTCAAACTTTGTGAAGGGCTATGAAGAGGTAGGTATTCTAGGAGTTGAGCCAATAGCTCTGTCAGTTATTGAGACTATATTACTAAATATCAGGAGCCTTAAAAATGTTCATTTCCTTTAAACTTAGTAATATCACTTCTAGGATTCTAGACTCAGGAAATTTGGAAAAAACTTTATGTACATAGATGTTTATCACCGTACTGCATATAGTAGTGGTTTTCAGAATGTGTTCTGTGGAATGCTGTTGGGAGGCAGTTGTGGTGGGTTGGGTCCCTCCCCTACACTCAACAAGGTCAGCTCTGTTTCATGTTGGTCTTGCTCAGAACTTTCTCTTGACAGTTTCCATGTCTAAAAAAGTTTGAAAATAACTGACATATTTAAAATATTAGAATAATTAGAAATAATGTAAATAAATATCTACTGGAGAAGGACCAGTAAATTGTTATGTAGTCATATAAAAGCATTATGTAGTCATTAGACATGTTTAATAAGAGTTTTCAATAGCAATAGGAAAGGACATAAAACTGTATAGACAGTATAATTTCAAAACTTTAAATATTGTGTCTGTACAGAAAAAAGCCCTCCCATTGCTTGCTTCTGTATTATGGGAG